ATTTTACAGTGACTTGGTTTGAAAGAAAAGATAGCTCTTGTTTTGAGATCTTGCAGACTCCAATAACTTGTAATAAAATGGAAGTATGCTTACCTTTTCTAGGGCAAAGGAAAGAAAGGCAAAATAAAGTCAAAATATAAATTGAAACATGTAAACAATCCTTTCATATCATTAATCATCCTATAAATTCAAGATCTTGATCATAAATCTATTTTTAAAATCCCAGGTGAAGCATTTGCCGAGAGTTCAGGAGTTAAATCTTTTGTTCTTTCTGTATTTATAGATAACATATAGAGGAATTATCCATTCCACTGATAGGAATTTAGGATTTTATTTTATTTTATTTAAAGAGAAAAAAGAAATAAAAAAAAAGCAGTAAAATGGTACAAGTAATACAGAATTTCAAGAAAAAATATGCAGTAAGAAATCACTAGTTAATAGGTTACATATTATCTTAGAAACAGTTGTCCAAATTATAAAATTAAAGCATATAAAGTGGACATTTATACAGTGAGATTGCAGACAGTTCCCGTTCAATTATCCAACAAAAGCTCAGTAATATGGTTTTGGATTTTATTATTAAATAGGAGAAAATAGGCACCTTTTAGCAAAATATGCATGCTACACTCAGTTTCATTTTACTGTTGCTAACAAGACTGAGCAGTTAGTTTGATGTTGTCATATCCATAGTATTCAAGAGGGGCACCATTTGTCCCACTGCTGCTTACATCAAGATGAGTGGGAGGAGCCGAATGCAGTGAAGAGCAGGCACTCGGCTTTGTCCAACGCACCAAGTAGCTAAGCAACTGGACTACACATCACACATCTACCTTTCCAGCCAGCTGGTGATGTTACTAAACAACTACGCCCACAAATCCAGTGTCTCAGGGAACACTGTGTTTCTCCTTTGGGTAAAGCCTAAGGTAAAGAGTTCCAGGTCGTGGCAGCTCAGCTCTATGGAGCCATTAAGTGGGACAGGACGGCAGTCTGTACTCCTCTCAGAAGAGTTCGCAAGAGAACCTTACAGCATAAACTCAGAACTCTGGTCACCCTGAACTGCAAGGGAAATTGGGAAATGTAGTCCAGCATGTGCTCAGAAGGAGAAGAGTATGTTGATGAATATTTTGCAGTATTTGCTATATGCATGGCTTCTGCCTCCAAAAAGGCTATACACAAGGTGATCATAGAGCTTCGGGATATACATAAATATTCACATCTATGAACAATGATGATGTATTCTACCCAAGCAACTATTATTTATGTTTAAGCTATAGAAGGGAAGAGAAGGAAGAAAGAAATGGTTTGTTTACTTTCAATTACCTCATAAATTAGCTTATATCAAATTTCTCAGGATAATAATGGGGAGGTGAAGGCTTTTACCTTAAGTAACTTTTAGTGTTAGGTAGTGTATGTCAAGGAGCTTTTCTCTCTTCATTTCTTCAATCAATTGAGGGGGAAAATAAGCAAAAGTAAATCCCACTTCCTTTCTCAAGAGCCTGACTGTTGGCCCAGGCTGGGTTCCCAGAGTTGAAAGGTGGAGTGATTATGAGTGAAGCTGTCCTTTTGCTGATGGAGAAGAAAAGAATAATTCCAAGTCTGCACAGGAAGGACCAAGGAACAAGGAAATCTCCAGTTTTTCAAGTCCACTGAACAGGATTGCAAGAAGAGTCTAAAATAAAGAGTTCTCCACCGAGAAGTGCAAAGTCCTGAAGTCAGGCTGGCAGTGGAAAGACTCCCAAGGCCACAGCGCTCTGGGAACGGGGTGTTCTTGGGGCCTTAGGAAGTCGAGACTTTTCTATTTCAACTCTGCCTGGCGTTGGAGGCTTGCACACTTCCTCCATCTGAGGAAGTGTAATCTAGTCAACTCATCCATTCATGAGTCTGGTGATTTGTGACTACTGGAGAAGGAAAACTAAGGTAAAACTAAACTTCACAAACCGATTTTGTAAGGCCATTTGTATGACTTAATGTTGAGAGAGAAATTAGTTTTCATTTCGGAAAGGTGTTATGGCACAAAGTAGGAATGGGGTATATTGAATTTAGATTTAGTGAAGGTTGAACTTAATTCTTGGCCCTGGTAACTAGTCTGTGACATTGGATAAATGACTTACATTTATGAAGTCTTAGTTTTTTTGTCTGTAAAATAGGAGATGAAAATACTAACTAAATCATAGAATTTCTGAAGCATTAAAAGAATGTTCAAGGATATTAAATAGCTCAACAAATAATAGTTTAAAAAATTTCATGATATAGAAATTTTGCTTTCTTTCTGAGACTAATAACAGTCACTGATTCCTTAGAAAACTCAATTGGTCAGTGAAACCTTTCCCCTAGAATCCTTGAGAATCTATTTAGAATACAGTGGTAGTCAAGTCCTGAAAGCTGTTATATATAAGTAAAAGGCAACATAAGAATATTTCCTTTCAGATGTGAGCGATCCTCTTAAAAAAAATAAAGTAAATTTCCTAAGCATTTAAAGAAGTAAATGCTATTTAAAAAATGACACAGTTCATATAATGTGGCAGAAACAGGTCTATAGCGATATCTTTTTGTTTTGATGTAGGACATATATCCAATGCTAAGAATTCATGATTGTCTGGAATGTATTTATTATTTCCAAAATTAGCCATCTCTCCTATCATTACTCTCTTCAGATAAGTACAAATTTCATTTTCAAAAGGCTCCCAGTCCTTTCTGTGGAATCACTGGGCATGCCAGCACATCTTCAGGCAAACCGTGAGAAGAGTATTCATTGGCAATCACAAGAACAAAAGAAGATTTTTCTAAAGGTGATGATGCAGAAAAGGAAAGCAAATGCCCCTGAGGAACAGGGAGAAATGTCAAGGGAATTGGTGTATCTTCTTGGCACCCTGTGATCTGACCATGATGGGAATGTGCCAGTTCATTGCCCTGTGAAAAGCCCAAAAGGAAAAGAAGGATTTGGCTGATTGCACTCTAAAGATAAGTTGGAAAAATACTTGATGGTCTTAGGGAATAAGAGTTGTGACATAAATTGGGAAACACAGAATTTATGGGTATCATAAAATTAAAGAGCCTTCCCAAATATTCTGAGGAAATAATTGGAAACTTCTAATTATTGCAAAATAACTCAGTAATGATTCCCTTAATTTTATTAAGTTTGTGGTATGTGTCCATATTAAAATAAGTACTTTACAACATTAATACTTGAGGTACCCCTAAGAGGAAGGGCACCAATACTTCTCCCATTGTCTGCACCAGGAGATTGAGGTTTACACGAGTTCTTAACCTTAAGACACTATGTAGAATGCCAAGTGCAGAGGAAAAAAACCACTGCCACACAACCTAGCCCAGAAATCAGTTCATAGATGTACTTCTCAGTGATACTTAAATTCTAAGAAAATCTTGCTCACATATTCGATGAACCAATAGTGAATTTGATGCCTGGAAAGACATGTTTCTCTGAGGTCATACGCAGTGCTTTCAAAGGGATTTCCTTTATATATTTTATCTCTCTTAGGAGCAGCACAAAGATCTCACAGAGTGACTAATTTTTAGTAATTGTGATGGGCAAGGCTTTGTTGAGTCATTTGATTTCCAAATCACACTCTGATTCATCAGGTCTTCGTTGAACATTAATTATATTTAACATCTGACATCTTTTACCCTTTCTCAATATCATGGATAATCTGGGAGAAAATAAGACAAGTCAAACCCAGCCATGTTTAAAATGATCATTGAGCATTGGTGAATTAAAGCAAAAACTGAATAACTTCAATATCCCACAGAGTTTTTAAAATTTGTATATTTCATAAGGTAAAAGAACAGGATTGTGGACAAAATCTGCATTGCTATTTTGCTTTTATATCCAAAAAATCATATCAATGTGATTATTCTAGGCAGTAAAATTGTCAAGATGACAACATTTACTTAAATTAACTTCCTTTTTCAATCATCATAAAATTGAAAATGACTTATAAGGAAGAGCTAAGACTTGTAAAATGGTTAAGAATCTCTGTATACTAAAATGTACCCTGGCATTTCATTGACAATAGTATTTGAATCCTGCTTTAGGTATTCGAAAGATGTTAGCAACACTGAATCCTATGGACCAACTTAGAGGGGAACCTTTTTATTCCCTTGATAAAACAAAACTGCCTGTAGTGAATGTGTGCCTTTGCCAGTGTCTTTTCACCTTGTTCCCATAATGTTTTGATTTTCTGGGATTCTGCCCACCTCCATCACTGTCCAACTGTAGATCAGAGTGCAGAGGGGCGAGCTGGCATTTCCTCCCACCTTTTCTCTCACTGGCCAAGACCAGTCAGATAGAACTCATAGGAATCTGGCCCAAGAACAAAGCGTGGTTGGAGCTCTCAGTGGATAACAGCTTCCTGATGAGACTGTCCCAATTGTTCATCCTGAACCTGGCTAGTACCTTGCTTCTGATTTCTGGTGATCTAATTTTTTTTTTAAATATTGGGAGCTATCCCATATTCTTCCACTAAATTCTTCTTTTCTGTTGTTTTGCAAAGAGCACTAACTCTTTGATAAAGAACAATGTCTTTTCTTCTTTCTACAAAACTTCTTAAACACTTTTATTCCCTTCACTATTTGGAATAAGATCAAACCTTTCCTGACAGTGTTTGGTTTTCACAAAGGTAAAATTTTCGGTGAATGATGAACTCTTTTGGACTAAAATCATAATAATATAGATCGGAGTCCTGGATCATAATAGACAGGAGTAACTACATACAATAAAAAAAACAGTTCTATTCATTGTTCACTCCTATCTTCCAAGCTCTCATGATGAAGCCATCAAGGCACACACTTGCTAACTAGTAATTTCATTACACCAGAATACAGCCCACAGGTTTGAAGCAAGTTACTTTCTTACAAATTACAAAAAAACCCCAAACAAACAAACAAACAAGTGGGGCCAAATACTAAACTTCAGCAGGTGAATACAGAAACTGTTTTTGAAAGCTAATTTTTGAAAAGAAAATTCCATCACAGCAAATTACCTTGACTTTTTACATGGCTTCTTCACCAAGTGGTTTCATATTTAGTATCTTGGTCCTCGAAATAAGTCTTTGAATAAAATATGCATACTGGGAAAAAAAGAAAGAAAATGGTGACCCAAAGATATTAGAGTTAGTTGACTTAAATATAAGTACCCAACATAAGTGCAAGAGTAATAGATGGACTAGCAATTATTAGGCACTTAGTAAATTCTGGGCCTGTTCTGAGTATTTGCCAGATTGCTCACTTAATTAATTTAATTAGTCCCATTGACTAGAATTTAGGAAGATTAAGTGAGTCCCTCAAGGTTGTGCAGCAAATAGAAGATAGATCCCCATCATGAATCAAAGGCCAATTGGGTTTCACATCAGAACTTTTGGGAAGTACCTTCAAAATGAGCTTTCTGTTGTGGTCTCTGAAGCAATAAGCACCATGCCTGGACTATTTTAGATGTCTGCTAGTTTGAGACTGAGTGTATTTTAACTTATTCAATAAGAATGGCTGAAATTCAATTCTAGTAACCCTGATATTCCAGTTAACTTCCAGTTAATTCATTACCCAAAACAACTACAGGAGTTTGGGATCCTTGCTTGGCCTGGCCAGGGAACTTTATGGCTTCCTGCTGCACTGGACCAGATCAGCGGGTCTTGAGCCCACCTGCATCAACTGCCCGGCTCCCTGCCATGCTTGGTGGACTCTGGGTCCCTGGCCTGCTGGCACCCTCAGTTCCAGAGGCTGAGCGGCCTGCAGTGAGTGTCCCCACACTATCCTCTGAACCAGGTAGTTTGGGATCATTGCTCCCAGTAGCCAAGGAACTTCACAGCTTCCTGCCACACTTGACCTGTACCACAGGGCTTGGGTCTGCCTGCTCCATCCCCAGTGATTCTCTCTCAATCTGCAGAACTGGGCAGCCAGAGTCCCAGGAGCTGAGGGCATATAAAAGGCTCTGGGGAAGCCTTGGAATAACACTTGAAATACAGAAATATAGGCAAATGACAAAACGAAAGACCAAAATACAATGTCAAACATCCAGCCCATCCCAAGGAACCCTAGGAGCTATGTACACAGAAGAAAATATATACCATACACCTGAAATACCTGACATAATAGCAACTGAAATAAAGAAGCAACTCTGGGAAGCTTTAAAGGAATTCAAACTAGAAATAATCTCCCAAGTAAAAGAAGAAATGAAAAAAGAAATGAAAGAAATGCTGAACATACCTAAAGAAGACACAGTTAAAAAATTGGATAAACTAAACAAAAAGGTAGAATCCCTGGATGAACAATATAAGAAACAAACAGAATACATAAAGCAGATGCAAAGAGATATATAGGAAATCAAAAATTCCATCAAAAGTTGTAAAAACTGCCTCAATGAAAGTGAAGATAGAATTTCAGACCTCAAAGACAAGATTGCAGCTAGTAAACAGGAAAGGAAAGATCTTTTAAAAATAACAAGGAATCAGGAAATAACAAATCAACAGCTTCAAGATGATGCAAAGAAAAACAACATACGATTGATAGGGATAAGTGAAAAAGAAGGGAACAACATAAAGGATGTCAAAAGGATATTTAAAGAAGTAAGTAATAGCTGAAAATTTCCCAAACATGAGAATGGAAACTAACATCAGGATCAGTGAAGCATATAGAACTCCAAATAGCCATAACCAAAATAAAACTACACCCAGACATATAATAATCACCATCCCAGAAATCCAATATAAGAATAGAATATTAAAAGCTATCAGAGAGAAAAGACAGATCACCCCTAAAGACAAACCCATCAGAATCACAGCAGACTTCTCAGCACAAACAATAAAGTCAAGAAGAGAATGGAGTGAAGTATTTCAGATCCTAAAGGAAAATGATTTCCAACCTATACTGATGTACTTCAAAATCTATAGAGAAATAATATACTTCCATGACAAAGAACAGCTGAAGAACTTTGATCACCAAGCCAACTCTGCAAAGAATACAGAAAGACAGATTAGATATACTTAGGAAAAAACCACTAATCAAAGCAGACAGTTAGAGACTCTGGAGAACATGGCGGACAGACAACAGCAACTACTGAACGCTCTCTAAAGGCTCGGCTCTGAGGCCAGGAATGATGCGGACTAAGGAGATACGAACCAGTAGAGATATATGCTCTGCTGACTCAGGAACGAACTGGGCTGAGAGAATCCAACTTGGAATACAGTCCTGGCGCTAAAATAGGAACAGAAAAATCTCGGTGCGGAGGCTCGACTCCGCGCCATTGGAAACCGCGGTTTGGATTTCCCACCGCGCGGCGACCGGCTACCTCCACAGCGGCTCAGTTAGGAGAGACGCGACCGCCGAGCTCGGGAACGGAGTCGGAAACGCGACGGACAGGAAGGAAGGCTGACTGGTGGCGAGGTGAGCAAGGAACTGACTCCCTACCGCAGTCTGACTCCAGCGGAGGATTTTCTGGGCGCGGGCAGTCCTGTAAGAGCAGGGCGCGGTGGCAACTGCAGCCGCGCATTTCCCTCTCGGACGGGATTGGTGAAAGGTGCCTGGCTGGAGGGACGCTGCTCGCGGACTCCCTAGGCTGGCCTAACCCAGATCCCAGAGCCTGACGGTGGCCCTGAGGAGCGACCGACTTCCGCGTAGGCTGCCTCCTCCGCAACCCCCTGGGGCGCAGCGGTGAGCTGGAACAACTAGCCAGCGCAATTCGATCAAGCTGTAGCTGACAGGCAGGGAAGCCGGGCCTCCTGTGTAAGATTACATTTTATAAGGAACAGAAAATATGGGGAAGGGAAGCAACAAAAAAGGCTCCTCGACCCCCAATCCTGAGAATCAGGCAATAGTGGACACTGTACCAATATACATTAAGCGCCATTTAGAGAGCCTCATAGACCAATTCAGGAATGAAGTTATCAATGACCTGAAGCTAGAAGTATGCAGAATAGTTAGAGAAATGCTAAGCACCACCCAGGAAAAAGCAGATGGTGGAGTGGAAGAACAGAAAAAGAGGGGAGAATTGCTTGATGGAGAAAACAGAGAAAGCATTGAGTATGTGAAGCAGGTGCAAAGGGACTATCAAGAAATCAAGGAGTCTACCCAAGACTGGCATAACAGCTTGAAAGAAACTAAGGACAGACTATCTGAATTGGAGGGCAGACTTGAAACATGGGAGAATGAAATGAAAAACTTCTTAAAAATAACAAAGAAACACACAGCAATAATACAAAGACAAGAAGATGATAAGAGGAGCCATAACTTAAGGATTAAGAACATAAAAGAAGAAGTAGGGACACAAACAAGTGAACTACAAAAGCTACTCACAGAAATAATCCAGGAGAATTTTCCTAATTTAGCAAAAGGTAAAGATACTCAAATATATGAGGCATACAGGACCCCAGCTACCTACAACCCTAACAGAGAAACACCCAGGCATATAATAATAAAAATTCCAGAAATTCAATACAAGAACAGAATATTAAAAGCTGTAAGAGACAAGAAACAGATCACTTACAAGGGAAGACCCATCAAAATTACAGCAGATTTCTCTTCACAAACCATCAAATCACGAAGAGCATGGGGAGAAATAATTCAAGCTTTGAAAGATAATAATCTACAGCCAAGATTGAGATATCCTGCACAACTGTCCCTGGAAATTGATGGAAAAACGAGGTGCTTCCAAGATAAAGAGGAACTGGGGGAATTTGCAACCACCAATTCAACCCTACAGAAAGTATTGCAGGATATTCTAAAAAAAGAAAAATACAAAGAACCCAGAAATAGGGGCGGGGAGGCCACAACGAATAGAGCAGAGAACAAAACGAAGAAGACAAACTGACAGCTACTGACAGAAAAAGAGCTCAACAGAAATGAGACAGAGAAGATTGGATGATAGGAACAGCTTTTTTTGGAGAAAATGACATCTTAATAGGTAATGCTGATTTAGTACCATCTTGTTTTGAAGTCTCATCTAGCTTTTGTTCTTCTGTCTCCAATGGTCTAAACAGGTTGTATCTTATTGGATTTTACTATGTACGATAGTATAAGAAAAAACCTTTTAAAGACAAGGAGATTATGCAGAGACCATTGTTCATTTTCTGTTAGTCGATTCTAAATACTCTATAATGCTGTCATTCTCTTAAATGGATTTACATTGTTTTGATATACTTAATGCTACAGTATATGAAGTTGTACTCAAGGACTTCAGGGAGGGAGTCAATATGGTAACTATTTTTGGGTCAGGATTGGCTGGTGGTGAAACACTATTCTGCTTAAATGGTTATGTTTTGATCTGCCCTGTTTCGCTGTTATGCCCTCTTTTTTTTCTCAATCTCCACTCCATTATTTACTTTTTTATTTTTATCCATTTAATTACAGGGAAAAATATAGCAGGATATAATATAGTAACCCACTTTGACTTTCTATTATCTCGATTTGAAGCCCTGTATTACTCTCACCATCTTGTTTTTGACTGAGGTTCCTATATTCTGTTTTGCTGGATAGTATCAGGTTCGAAAGTTTAGGCATCAGCTGAGAAGATAATGAGATTCATTATAACGCCCATTCTCGTTGACTTTTATCTACTTTTGAAGACCTACAATGTCTCCAATGTTTTGGTTTTGTCGGTTTTATTCTTTACGGTTTTGTTCAATTGTATTACAACTAATGATATAGGCAATTCTATTAGAAATAGCGGGAGGCATTAGGGTAACCATTGTTGATCACCTTGTATTATGTTTTTATATTATCTATTATGTCCACCCTTTTGACTTGACCGATTCTGTTCTGTTATGTCACATTTGGTTTTACTCTCTTCCAAAAAAGCAACAAGAACCGTGGGAGCAATGAAATCCAAAATGTGTAATAGTCACTGTACAAAAGAGAGGAAAAGAAAGTGCTCTAAACTATATAACTGCATGTATATTTAAAAGTATAAGATAGAAAATGATATCGCAGAGTTTTATTGGATCATTGAACAGAACTGTTTGCAGTATCATTGGTGGAATGTCCACTCTACAAGCTTTAATTTTGTGACTTGAACAATTATTTCTAAGAAGGCAATATGTAATCCATTAACTAGTGATTTCCTACTGCGCATTTTTTTATT